ACGCGCTTGGTGGGTGCGAGTCGCGCGGTCCTGCAGCGACAGCAAGTCGACGCCATCGTTGCGATCGGCCGGGCGTGTCGGTGGCTTTGCGTGCTGAGGCGCGCGCGGCATCGACGACATGGGTGCCCGGCCACACTTCACGAGCGTTATGAGGGCGCGGAGGCTTTCTGCACGTTGTCGAGCATGCGCCTTAGCGAGATCTCGCACAGGGAGCAGCCCTGTGCGGCGGTCACCGCTGCTATAACGCAGCGTAGGCGTGACTTGCCACGACACGATACTGTGCAGCTATAGTAGGACCGACAGCCGCCTCTTTCTGTCTTCGAACTCTCCATCTGTCACTCGCTTTTTGATCGCTTATCACTCCAGCTCGACATCGATATGGCCCCAACAACAATGGACGTTCCAGCAAGGAAACGAACGGTGCGAGCAGTGCGTCTACTTCTCTTCCACGTCCATTGGGAGCAGTGCTAACAGTCACAGTGTGATCAATGCCGCCGAAGGAAGGTGAAATGCAATGGCAAGCTGGGCTGCACCGAGTGCAATAGCATTGGGTATGCGGAGCCTTCTTCCTACATCAACAACCTTCACTAACAGTGACTAGCCTGGAATGCTCATATGGCTCGCAAATCAAGCAGTCGCGTCGTCGCAACTACCTGATCCACCTCGAACAAAAGGTCCAGCGACTGGAGCATGAATTGCGTTCAGCCAGATCAACTTCGCTCCCGGACAACACGCAACGACGAGCCAGCGAGCCAACAATCGAACTATCATTAGCCACCAACAGCCACCCTGGCGTGCGAGACTACAACGGCACGGTACCTGAGATCTCAGCACCTTCGATATGTTATTGGAACAACAACGCGTACAAGCCATTCGAACAGCATGGCGGCAGCACCGAATGGGTTGGCCCCAACACGACCAAGCCGTTCCTAAGTGGCCTTCAAATTCCAAATCAATGTGTACAATCGTCGGATGGTATCTATCGCCACGATTCCTTGTCGGTAAGTGTCAGAGATTACTTGTGAAGTGAACTGCAAGCTGACGATGCGACAGCCCCAGACACCTCAGACTGCGTCCTCAGCAACGTGGACACCAGTCACCGACGTGCTCGACTACTGGCAATCAATACCGGACAATACCTGCGCACAGCCAATCCTCCCTACCATGCCACAAGATGCTGGTCGTTGGTATCAACATCCCTTCGATCAGCCCCTAGAAGCGCACGACTATCACGGACTTTCTTATTCAAATGGAAACATGGCACCTTGTCCGCCATCTTACAACTGATTTAATAATATACTAGAAATACCCCTTGTGACGGCAGAAAGAACAACAACAACAGTAATAATGGAACACCCCACCTATAGCCACAGACCTGGCGTTGAAATTGGCAGACCTGAAGCGAATTCTTTGTAATTAATGACTTGCGACTTTCAAGGCAATAGATTGCCACTTTGTATTGATACCTTCAATTCACATACTGTCTTATACATATTAGAGGTATATCACAAGTACCATGAACAAACAGCCAATCTCACGGGCAAGTTACAAGACATGATGAACGAATATAGCTCACGTATATGTCACCATGCATCCATAACAACCTGGTCGGACGACCTGGTGGGATCGCCACAAGTAACACGAACGTCAACGAACATATCGGCATGTATGAGAATGAAAGCGGTGTGAATTGCGTACCTGCATCTACTACCACCAGAGCCATGCTGCCACGATGGCGAATGTACTGCTGCAACTTCACCGCATCGTATCAAGTGGACCATAAACTTCGTGTTGCTCAACGGCGAGGCTGCATATACTCTCTGTAAGTAAGATTGAAGCTGCAGGTCCCTAGTGCGTCGCTCCTTCTCAGAGGTCAACTGAACTGGGAAACTCACAGCCACATCAATGTTTACCAGTGAGTCGGTACTAAGAAGATGTGCGACTGGGATCATTGCGTCGTGCTGCACGGCACGCGGCCCGGCGGACGATCAGGTGCAACCTGGTTGTGGTGGTTCGCTCTGACCCGCTTGATGTTCTGTTCCTGAACCTGTTTTGTTCCTGTTCTTGTAGCTTGGGTAGCTTTCGTTGAATGGTCACTTGACTGTGCTGTCATCGAGCAGGTGGTTGAGGCGTGGCACGAGAAGTTGTCACTATGCATGCCGATGTGGCATTCTAGATGATTGCATATGCACTCGGCAACACTCTGCCCTCGCAAAGACTATGAAGCAGCACTCGCAGCGGTTGTCGACATCTCTGGCATGATAGACTGCTTCACATCGGCCCAACTCGTCTCACGAAAGCCGCCCCTTTCGAAGCTCTTCATCGGTACCAGACCATACTTCTCAAACATCGCTTTGTCTGCGTCCCAGCCCACAGCGTCCGTGGTAAGCATCTTCTCACCTGTGAAAACAGCATTGGCTCCGGCGGAGAAGCAAAGGATCTGCTCGGCTTCACTCATGGTCGTGCGGCCTGCTGCGATGCGGATGATGGTTGCTGGCATCACCAGTCGCGCTGTGGCAATGGTTCTCAGGATTGCGTCGAAGGATATGCGCTTGCGTGATGGGTCATCCCCCAGCGGTGTTCCCTTGATGGGCACAAGAGCATTCACGGGGAAGCTCTCTGGATGCGCTGGCAATGTCGAAACGGTATACAAAAGGCCAACATGATCTTCTGGCGTCTCTCCAAGGCCAAGAATCCCACCAGAGCACACGTTGATACCTGCGTTCCGGACATTCGAGAGCGTCTGAAGACGCTCATCGTAGGTTCGTGTCGTGATGACAGACGGATAGTGCTCTCGTGAGGTGTCCACATTGTGGTTGTACGCCGTCAGTCCAGCCTGCTTGAGCTCATCGGCTTGGTTCTGGTCGATCATGCCGAGTGTCACGCACACTTCCATGTCCATGGCTCGAATGCCTTCCACCATGGCCTTGACATTCTTCAGACTCGTCTTACGACCTCGCATGTCTCTCCAGGCAGCTCCCATGCAAAACCGTGTGCTGCCGTTGTCTTTTGCTATGCGAGCCGCCTTGAGCACCTCGTCGACCGGCGACATTTTCTGTGCTTTGAGCCCAGTGTTGTAACGCGTGGATTGAGCGCAGTAGGAGCAGTCTTCGCTACATCCACCAGTCTTGATGTTCATTAACGTGCACATTTGTACCGCTGACGGGGAGTGGAAGCGTCTATGGATAACACCCTACAGCAGTGCCATCAGCCAAGTGCACACGATCTTCGTGCGTGCATCGTGTCAGCCATACCGACTGGTGAGCCAGCTCCATGAGCGGCGTGTTGTACAGCTCACGGATCTCATCCTTGGTCCAATCGTAGCGTGGAGCACGAGCGTTGACTGCGTGCCATAATGCTCCCTGGCTGGCGGCGGAGGGCGGAGAGGTGGCGGAGATGGGCGAAAAGGAGTCATCCACAGGCGTGCTGAATGTCCGTTTGGCCGTGGCAGCTGCGGTGCGGAGGGCTGGCACAGGAGGCCTTTTGAGGACAAGGCTCAACGACATGGCGGCAATGCAAGTTCAAAACGGCAGACACACAGAGTCGATTGATTTCGGCCAACACACAGTCGCTGCTGCAATTGCACGCCAGCGACCATGGTGGCCAAAATAACACGCCGCGTGCCCAGGCCCATGCTGAGGTTGAGCAGGACCCCGCCGCAGAGCTCAATGGCTCAAGCAGCAGCAACCGAGCTCTTGCCGACGCTATCCCACCCATTGAGCAGGTTACCCAAGGAATTGACGAATCGTGCTCGCTACTACACGCGTCCTGTGTTTGTTGTCGCTGTCCACCGACACTGTCTGGAGCATCCTCGAATTCATGCCGCATCCCCTGCAACGCGACATCCTCTTGACCGGGCATCGCCAGCACACGCCCGCGGATCTCCGCCTGCCGTGTTAACCCGCAATTCAGTTGCTCGAATGCCCGAAGGGCCCAAGCCTATCTCTCCAACTCTGTTCTTGGTTCGTACTGTCCAGAACTGATTCGAGCCGTGGCCTACGAAAGCCACATCGGGTTCTGTCACTAGGTGGCATTTTGACTCGTAGGAAAGATCGACATGCAAGGAAACGCTTGACAAGTAACGCCCATCCGCCATCCGTGGCATCACTCCACTTAGGCCTCATGTTGCTGGGTGGGAAGTGCATCGAGAGACTTATCCGCTCCTGAAATGAAGACCAACAGAGGTGCAGCTTGAGTGAACATTCGAAACACTCCAGTAAACTCACATGCTATTGCGGCTTGCTGAGCCGCGGTCTGACAATACCAGCTCGCCCAGTCATGATAGTAGACTCAAGGTGGACAGCGAAGTACGTCTGAAGGTTGCCGAGTTATCATTGTGTTCGTACCTGGCATACTGCAAAATCTTCAAGGACAGGAGCCAGCCGTGGACAGCAAAATGGAAACCCGGAAGCATTGACGCTTGGGTGTCTCTCGCGACCTTGATTGTTTGCTTGTCTTCCTTCTGTACACTAAATGCCTTAACCACGCCGCAGAATGCAGAGATGCAACGAGCAAATATATGCTCAGATTCCTCTGAACGCAGTATTGAAGGCGCGAAATCAGAGGCGAGTTCCCATTTTGCTTTCCGGTGGGAGGGGAGGTCCTCTTGGTGCTGCGATTCATCTGGACAGTGTTACGATCTCACAACAAACAGTGTTCCCAGACGTGCCACCGGCATCGATACTCAATGGCCAGTCTGTACCAGATTCGAGCGTCGCAGATTCAGGTTGGAGGCCGCCATGCCAACCGTCGACCTCTGGCCCTCATTACCTTGACACTGCGCAGCATTTCGGTTTCACACGCTCGTTCAGCATTGCGTGGTTCCAATTATGAGATGAGCAAAGCCCAGAGCTCGTATTGACAAGACAGCCAGGTGAGTCCACCTACGAAGTGCAAAGATGTGCGAAAGAGCATCTTGATGTATTGTCGTATCAGGTATCCTCGTGTGTCGGCGACCATCACTTATAACCGATGTGAACCGTACTGCAATCGTGCAGTGGAATCCTCGTTCTGGGTCTTGACGTTCCGTTTGCTGTGCACTCCTACAATCATCGCAGGGATCCTGATGCGTACTTGCAAAGCGTTCTCGTTATCGGAGGGTCTCGCAATGTTGGTGTACTAAATTGCTAGCAGTGTTGCCATCGTGGTCGCTCTCGCTTTGCTGCAGCCAGCCAAGCTTTCACACGTGATCGTGGTCTCCACGCGTGGCGAACGCGACTGCCTACGCGTGACACGTCCTTCGCACTTCCAGCTCCACAATTGACAACAACTGTTTGCGAGTGGTGTATAACAGGCCACTGCAGCCATGGCCGACGAAGCCGAAACAGGTCCTCTGTTCGAGGGCGTGGTCTTCACCATTATACCCAGCGATGATCTTACCGCGGAGCGAACAAACACGCTGCTGACGACACTCGACGACAACGGCGCCACCTTTCGAGCTCTGCGCGACGACGACCGCTCCATCGACGACATCGACACCGTCACGCACGTCGTATCCACCCACGTCGACTTTCCGCAATACTCGCGCTGTTTAGACCTCGGAATCTTCATTGTCAAGCCCTCATGGGTGCGGGACTGTATTCAGCGTGGCAAGCAGACCTCGCCCCGCCAGCACAGTCCCGACCCTAGCCAGTACTTCCAAGATGTTGTCCTATCTTGTGCAGATTTGCCCGAAGGCGACGCCGAGGCCATCAAAGCAGGCGTCATCGCGCTGGGAGGTCAGCCGAGCAAAGGCATGACCAAGCTCGTAACACACATTGTGACCATGAGCACAGACAATACCAAATGCAAAGTTGTGGAGGAGAAGGGACTGGACTGCAAGATTGTGCTGCCTCACTGGTTCGATGCTTGCATTCGTCTCGGCAAGAAGATCAGCGAAAAGCCATACCAGTTTCCAGATCCAGAAATACTTCGCCGAAACAACGCTCCTGTGCGGCCGTCGCCCACACCTCAACTCACCGGGGCAGTGTCTGCTGTAGTATCAACGAGCGTGCCGCCGAGTCCATCAAAATCACGCAAAGCCTTCAACGCTCTGCCGTGCAAGAAGATATACTTTGCTCAAGACTTGGACATCTCCGAGCACTTGATTGAAGCTCTGACTGCTACCCTGGAAGTTGGCGGCGTAAAGATTGTGGATACTGTCGAAGAGTGCGACATCTATATTGGCGGTTTCCGAGCGGGCAAAGAATATATCACGGCTTCGCAGGCTGGCAAAGAAGTCGCAAATTTGGCGTGGCTGTATCATGTTATACAGCGCAACAAATACACCAGTCCACTGCGGAAGCTCCTTCACTACCCTCTACCGCCTCAAGGAATTCCTGGCTTCGAGAACATGAGGATCAGTCTGTCGAATTACAGTGGTGAGGCACGTCTCTACGTTGAGAATTTGATCAAGTATAGCGGAGCCGAGTATACGAAGACAATGAAACAAGACAACACGCATCTGATCACTGCCCATCGATCGGGAGAGAAGTGCGAAGCTGCTCAAGAATGGAACATTCAAATTGTCAACCATCTTTGGCTGGAGGAGAGCTTCGCGAAATGTGCTATCCAAGCCACATCAAATCCGAGATACACCCAATTTCCCACTCGTACAAATCTTGGCGAAGTCACTGGTCAGACTAGCCTCGACATGAAGAGCGTTGAGCGCATCTTCTTCCCGCGACCAAAGTCGCCACGAAAGGTGGCTGTGGTACAGAAGCCCAAAGCTCCTGAGAGCGCTACAACCTCCAAAGCTGCTCCGGAGCCTGAGAGAATGGAGTTTGACACGCACATGCCTGACGCGGAAGATGCTGAGACTGAAGACGAAGCGGAGCCTGAAACTGAGCAGAAGTCAACCAAGAGACGACCTGGCCGGCCAAAGAAATCAGACGCAGCTGCCACACCTCGACCTGCAGCTCACTCACATGAGCCCGCCGATTCACCCATGCCACCTAGTACTGGGCGTGCTTCGAAGCAAAAGGCTAAGGAAAGCTTGATCTCAGCAGCTGCGGACATCGCTGCCTACCAAAAAGAGACCAAGCGTAAAGGCGGTGTCGTCTATGGCGGACTACGTGCAACCGCAGCGGAAGACAGGTCTTCACCCATTCCTCCGGCACGTCACTCTAGGAAGAGAGCAAGCGAAGAGTACGAGGCCTCGGCTCTGGATCCTGATCTCAGCGACGGGGAGACGCAACAAGTAGGAAGCAAGCCAAACAAAAAGGCGAAAACAACGAACACAGCGGCTTTGCCCCCTATCAAACACCGGATGATGGTCACTGGCGACGATCGATGGCAAGACAATGGCGCCAAAGAGTCCAAGGATAAAACGACTCTCCGTCAACTCGGCATTCATCTCACACAGGATCCCAAAGACGTCGACATTCTCGTAGCGCCCAAACTTCTTCGAACCAAGAAATTCGTTTGCGCTATAGCCCGATCCCCACTTGTCGTGCACACGAGCTTTCTTGATGCTGCTCTAGAAAAGAAGAAGCTAATAGAGGACCCGCCCATGCTCAAGGACCGGGATGGCGAAGAGCGCCTTGGTTTCAAACTGGCCGAGTCACTTGATCGTGCCAAGCAGAATCAGCACAAGTTGTTCGCTGGGTGGTCCATCTACGTGACCAAAGACATCAAGGGCGGCTTCGACACGTACAAAGATATCATCACTCTCAATGGTGGCGTTGCACTCATGTATCAAGGCCGTACTGGCATCTCCTTGGCTACGCGTCGCTCGCGAACAGATCCCGCCGCTGGCGCAGAGAGCCAGAACCAGGGTCATGACGACGAGTTCAATTGTGTCTATCTCGTATCAGGAGAGACCGCGGCTGAGACCAAGCTGTGGACCGCCTTCCGAAAAGAGGCGGAGAAGCACGATCTCGAAGCACGTATTGTGACATCAGACTGGGTGCTGAATGCCGCGCTCAGCCAGCAAATTGTGAATCGAGATAAGTATCACCTGGGGACGACATGAAGGGCGAAGTTATGGACGGGTGGCTATCGTGTGTTCAGCAGAAGCTGGTGTCCGAATGATGGAATTGTGTTTTATGCTCCGTAGGTCCATGGTTGGCTTGGAATCAGCTGGGCTGTCAAACTTGCATGTAAATAGAGAGCGAGCATGATTTGCTCCAAACACGAATGATAATGGATGACGATGAGCAGGAGCAGGAAATTAATTGTCACTGATGTTGGCTTGACGAGATTCGTTGTACTATGGTACCGGCACCCAGATGCTCGATCACTTTGCACTTGTGGTACAATGTCCATATAGGCAGATAGCCTTCGCGATTGCTTTCAAACGCTCCTGCTTTGGGTGGTCCCTAAAGCCTCGCATCGGGCCAGAGACTATCGCTGGCACCACTCTCCAGCGAGCCAACGCATAACGTGAGAACCCTTTGGGCCTGCTACGGGAAGCGCTCACTATACCGTCAGATATCTGCATATTGGGGTTTCAGCGCGTTTCCGCCATCTTTCTCGGGATCAAAGTGAGCAGGAACTTGAACTGCTCATGTGTATGTGGATCCTGCAAGTGAGTTCAACGCCGCGGAAATTGGAAATGGTATGACAGTGTCAAGTTACCACATGGAGAGAATGCGGTAATAAGTGAAGCGTCTAAAGATTGCCTCTCGTGTCGTTTTCAATTCATGCGCATCAATATCCAAATTCCTCATCAATCTCATCAGGAGACATGGTATCAACGTACGCTCTCCGCACAAATGTATACCACGCCTCGTTCTGTTTTCGATGCTGTCGCTTCTTGCCTTTGCGATGCTTCTTCTTTTTCTTCTTTCCTTTCTTGCCCATCTCCTCGAAATCTTCGCTGTCCTCATCATCCTGATCATCACTATCGTTGTCTCGCTCATCACCGTCTTCATCTAATGCTAGGCTCTCATCCTCTGGCTGAAAGTCACCTATCCTTCTCGCGAGGTCCAATAAGCTAGGCAAGGTAAGATCGTCCAGGTGATACACCTTGTCATGTTTCGTATCGTACAGAACTTCGTATTTGAACTCCTTCGGCTTCGGCTTATGATCTTTGGCGGGAGGCTTCTTGCCTTTGTGCTTACCTTCGCGCCATTTATCAGTCTCCATGCTGTCATCACCAATCTCCTCGCCCGCGAAATCGTTATTGATACGCGTGAGGTTGGCGAAATATTGCGTGAATTTCACCAGCGAAAAGGTTTGAGGAGAATACGCTGGGCCTGGCGGCGAGGATTTCGATGGCGGTTCAGGGATCGTAAATTTGTACTTCTTGGGCATCTTTTTCTTCTTTTTCTTTTTCCCCGTCACGTCAATAATATCAGAGTCTTCGAAATCGAATGGCGCCGGCTCTGTTACGCTGTTCACATCCATAACGTGGTCCTCAAGGCCGGTGGTATTGTACTCGAACACGCGCAGGGTTGGGAACAGATTCGGTACAACACTTGGGCTCACGAAGCTAGCCGCAAAGCGTTGTGCATACTCGCCGCCGATTTTCTTGAGATATTTCTTCTGCTTTTTTCGGAACTTGTCCTTCTTCCCCTTGGTCGTAGTATCGAGCCAATCTTTCGATTTGGCCTTTGGTGGCGAAGGTAAATCTGACCATTCATCACGCAATTGCAAGAAATAGTCTGTTTTGCCAACTGCAGACAGATCGTCATCTCCGGAGTCTTCTGTATGCACATACTGCATGCGTCCTTTCTTCGTGTCTTTCTCCAGGTCCTTGAAGTCCTGTAACATAAAGTGATCGTAATTGAAGTGACCATAGTGACTACTGACAATCACATCGCGATACTGCCGTAGCCAAAGAGTGTACTTCTGCCAGCATGTTTCGTCCCACGCAGTCTTCGCATCCTGACGAACTGGCGGCACGTGCCCAGTCAGCATGGCCTTCATTCCTCGATCACGCATGAACTGCAGCTGCACCCGCAGCCATTCCATCTGCTGATACCCAGGCTCTCCGTGCAGTGCGCATCCATCGACGCCAGCGTTACTGTTGAAGAAGTAGAGGGTATTCAGACTAAATACCGCGAGCTTCTGCGGGATCACTTCCACGTAGAACCAACCTCCCTGCTCGAAAGAATGCGACTGGACTTGCGGGATGAACTGCTTCCAGAGGCCCGCATAGGTTCTGGTCCATCTGTTCGGGCCTTTGGCCAGAATGTTGTGTGGCAGAATGTCGTTGTTTCCCAAGTTCGGCACAATTGGGATGACGAAGTCGTTGTTGGGATCATCGTCCTCCTCGTCGCCATTGTGCCTGCCGAATGCTTCGGTCATCTTATCCACCATGAACCTATTCAAACCAAGTACTTGGTCCGCCGTTCGCGGGTACTCCTCATCATTGTCGTGACGCGCCGAGTCGCCTGTCCAGATGACAAAGTCGATACTATCCTTGAACTCTTTTGCGACCCATTCCATCGTCTTATTGATCAGGGCAATCGGACTGTCACAGTCGCTGGACTCGGCGCCGTAGATGCCCGCCGGGCCTTGTCCGCGGTGGCACGCTGCATCTTCGGAAGTCGACGAGGAGACTTGGTAGAATCGGTCTGGGTGGAAGTCTGTGATGTGCAAGAAGCGGCCGTGAAGTTTCCTCTTCTTCGTCGTGTGAGAAAGCGCGCTCGCTGGCGCCTGCTCGTCCTGCAACGGAATCTGAGCTGGAGGTGCGGCGAGGGCTTCGGCAACCAGCACCGAGAACAGCAGGCGGAAGCAAATGTGCATGTTCGATGGAGGTGCTGGTCACGACCCGCGCGACCTACGAGCAAATACCAGCAACCTCCGCCCCCGGCTTGCCCAGCAGCCTCGCGATTCCGTGGTGGGTGCGGTGAGAAAGTGATGGCACACGGAAATCTGGCGACCGACGTCACCTCGCGACAACAATGCAAGGTACACGCAGCGACCGCGGAGCTGGATCTGGCCGGGCAAACTGAAGATTGCTGCTCGTTCTGGCACGACGGCCGTGGACTTCGAAATGCCTCGCGATGTCTCGCTCGGCCAGCAGCGCGATGATAGATGTACACGACCTTGATGGGACACGCGACACTCTGCATCCCACCTCTTCCCTCTTGCCCTCCACCCACGACCAGCGGCGGCAGCCTGGGGATCGACCGACTGCATCGTGGCAGCCAATCACATCAAGTGCAGCAGAAACGTTGTGCGTCGAGCTGCTGTCGTTCAACGCTGGGCGTGACCTCCGTCTTGTCATCTGCGCACGCTGCCACGGCCCATCTTCGTGATCGAAGTCATGCTGGCGACTTGCATCCTTTCACGTGGTCACATAAGCCTAGGCGCGTGTGCAACAAAGCTATGGGCAGGACCGCGACGGCATCTAAAAGCTCCAACGCTAGGTCGGAATTTATAGGAATGCTGACAATCCTGCACAGCTGCCCGCTTCTGTCCATGTACGATGTGTGCACAGGAGCGGTTTGGGATGCCATTCAGCACTAGGCATTCGAGGGTTGTGAGGTCGATAGTCAACTCAATAATACCACGAAGTAGAGGGACGAAATATCTGCCAAGGATGTCCGTCTACTTGAAGTCACCATCCAAGCGTGGACGTCAGCAAATTGGCCTGTATCGACGTCGAAACCATAGCCGACGTGGATTCATATCGAGTCCAGAGAAGGCATGAAAGACTTTGGGCAGGTGATGCAGACGGCTTCGAGATTGGTCTATATCTGGCCTATGTTCCGAGGAGGGGCACAAGCACGCATGTTATCATTCCTCTGCCACAAGAGCCACAAAAGCAGCGTGGCACAGATCGATCGTGCATCTGTAAGGTCCAGCCGCGTAACCCTACTGACTGACGATGTGCTCGACAGTGAATCTTCGGCAAAAAGTATAGATTGGGTCAGGCCTGTTTCCGTGGCATTCCCGGAGTTCATGCCATGGGAATAGATATGGGATGATGCTGACGATCAGCCGACTATTTTACCACAACGCAGGCGCCACTCTGGCTGGGCTGCGGCCACAGGATCTATACACTATCGCAGTGCTTATTCAACTGCTTCGACTGTAGTGGCGAGCGAAGCACTGAACAGACGGGCAAATACGGTTTGTAAGTGCTGACTGAGCGGCGTCCAGCGGTCCAGGTGCATGGATAAGGAGGATGAACAGAGTTATCATCAGGCATGCCTTGCTCGGACTATTCTTGTCTCTAATGCTTAGTTGGCACCACAACAGGCAATCCAAGCACCAGCTGATGGGACCGAGGCGCGAGGCGTCCACGCTGCTAGGCGTGCTGCTTTCGCGCTGTCCTCCGTCTCGTTCATGTAGGTCCAGCTGGGACGGGCAGATGCAGTACGACTGAGCTGAGACAGCGCGGTGCTGGGACTCGGCTTCCGAGAGCTTGTGTTGCATGCACGGAGCATCCGACGACAGCGAGCAGGCACAGCAGTGGCTCGCGGCTGAGGACCTGGCAGAGGCAATTTAGGCCTCGCTGTGTTGGTCTGTGAGATGCGTGCTCGTGCTCCGGCCGCGGCGGACAGGAGGGGAGCGGTGATATAGACTTGCCTCTGCTGTCGCTCACGATGGCCATGGAAACGCATCTCGACTTGTTGGACCGGGTATTGCACAATTGCAGCCGCTACTGACAGCCGGCCGAGCAGTGTGGCGTCGGAGGCTCTGCCTGGAGAGCCGAGCGGGCATCGTGCACAAGAATTATGATGGAGGAGTGTGCACGTGCCGACGACCTGCGCACGACATCATCAACATCGTCCTCGCCGGCTGCTGCTGCTGCTGCTGTGCCCTTCTTCCAGTCGCATCTGCTCTGCGATAACCGCGCCGTGCGCTGCAACACCCACCAACCGCAACATTTCACATGGCGACTGATCACATGCGATGACCACGCTTTCTGGTCGGTCGACGCTGCCAGCATGGAGGGCATTCACGGCGTCGACGTGAGCTGGTTACATCATCCGCAAAAATCGCCCAAAGGTCAGTCAGCGAGCCCAACGCGGCGCCTAGGTCGTGCACCGAGCTGATCCACACATGCGCCTGCAGCCACCGCCGACGCCCGCAAGGCCACGCCCGCTCCCTCCTCGACGCCGAACACCCCCGCACCACCCCGGGAGCAGCAGAACGGCCACAACCCACCGGCACCACGCAGTCCGCTGCAGCAAGCCGCCCCCGATGGCGCCCGCTCTTCGTATTTTCCCCGCGCCGTGACCACGCCCACGCCGCTCGAACCCGTGAAGGACACTACCGCAGCACATCCCAGCACGCCCACAGCTGCGAGCACCCGCACCACGAGGCGGCCAGGCCTGCTGAGCCGTTCGAGTTCAGAGAAGCTGAGCAGCGATGGGAAGACCATGCCCCGGCGAACCTCTTGGCTAAACAAGATTAGCAGCAATTTCTCTTCCACACCCACCGCTTCCCCAACTACAGGAGGTGCTCAAGCCACTCCGCCCCCCTCGACTGCTGCTGTCGGTTCAGTACCCGCTGCAGCAGGTGCCGCAAACAACGTAAATGGAGGGCCTACAGAGGGCGCCGAGCCACATGTACCACTGCGTCCGAAGGAGTCGTCGTCCAACTTCTTTTCCAACCTTACCCGCAAGCTGTCTGCTGGCCAGAGCAATGTCGCGCCTAAAGTCCAGGCCAAAGGTGGAATGTGTGCACGGCGTGTGCTCAACATCGATCCCAACCGGGAGCGGTGTCTGCTATCCGAAGTGGATGTGAGCCGCTTGAGAAAAGTGTCATTCTGCGTGGATGTCGAGATCGCCGGCGGCCCCAAGTATCACGATGAGGAGGATGAGGAGGAAAAGAAGCAGCGAAAAAAAGACTTCAAGCTCAAGGAGCGAGCTGAGGGCGAAGCGCTCAAACACCCGCAGGCGCGTCGGGAGGACGTAGATGAGAAGGCTGATGCCGAGCTTAACAGCAAGAGTAAAGCCCTGCCAATACCTTCGAAGCCAAACACAGAACACCCCGACCATGCCGGGACGCCGTCTGTCGGGAGCGTCAGCCCGCCGATCGGAAGCGTCGATGAGAAGGATGGCATGACGAGAAAGAAAGAGAAGAAAAAGAGATCAGAAGAGGAACGCAAGGAGCGTAAGGAGAAACGACGGCGACGCGCTGAGGAGAACGGCTCGATACCTGTCGAGCTATCAATGGATGCTGACGCATCCTCGCCGCCTGGAAAACCACCGATACCCACCACAACGACAGCTCCTCCCGTAGATGCCAGCAGACAAGACCGGCCAACTACTGATCCTGTCCGAATATATAGACGATGTTGTCAGCTCCGCGAGACGCCCATCTTGAAGCGCATTACTGAGCAATTGATGTCTCCAACTTGCTGCGTGCCGCACGAGCCTGGTGTGGTGCATTGCCTCAACCTCACCGGCTCCCGGTTGCAGCTTGCTGACATGGTAACGCTGGGAGACTGGCTTGCAGTGGTACCTGTGAAGAAATTGCTATTGGAAGATGCTGATCTCAGCGATGAAGGGCTGCGCTGCATCCTTGCTGGATTACTAGCGGCTACAAAACCGCAACCCACGCGGCGGAAAAGCACTACGCCCAAACATCGGCAGGGCGTGGAAGCTCGATCGTACCAAGAACGAAGCGGTGTGGTTGAAAAGCTGACGCTCAAGAATAACCCTCGGATTACGCGGGTCGGGTGGAAGCATATCAGCCTATTCCTCTATATGTGCAGATCTATCAAGGCAATCGACATGTCGATGATACGATTTCCTGCAAGCATACCTTCGAGTGCCCATGAGACCCTCGACCAAGGCTCCCAACTTGCGACGGTGAGCCAGACATCTGATGCAGACACTGCAGAGATACTGTACAAATGTCTAAGTCAGCGTTTGGGTGGCGATAAGCTCGAAGAGCTTATTGTTTCCGAGTGTGGCTTGACTGCATCGCATATCCGAAAAATCGTGGATGCTGCTATCATGTGTGGAATCAACCGACTCGGATTTGCAGGTAATCACCTCGATGACGAGGGATTGCAGCACATTCTTCACTGGCTGCGATCAGGAGTATGTGGGGGACTGGACCTCGGAGGAAATGACCTGCGTGGCAAACTCGATTCGATTGCAGAAGCGCTGAGCGCGAGAGGCGGCACGCCTTGCTGGGGGCTGAGCTTCGCTGGATGCAATCTCGACAGTGCTTCTGTCAAAGTATTGTTCCCAGCATTGGTCAAGCTTCCGGACTTTCGATTTATTGACTTGAGCCACAATCCTGATCTCTGTGGCCAAGACAACGAAACAATCTCACTGCTCCGGAGATACATTGGTCAACTCAAGTACCTGAAACGAATTCACCTCGCAGATGTGGGAATGAGTCCAAAGCAAGCCATTGCACTCGCAGACGTATTGCCTGAGGGACCGCTGCTCGCTCACATCAACATATTGGAGAACCCCGAGCTTTCAGCCTTGGCCAATGCTAAAGAAGAGGGCGATCAGGAGGAGGCTTGTGCGCTCTATGCTAGTTACATGGCCGCTGTACGAGTGTCTAACACCTTGATCTGCATCGACATAGACGTAAGTTGCTCAGCGTCGCATGTTGTTGATTCCAGCTGACACATTCTAGGTACCTTCGCCTGATAACAGCGAGGTCGTCAAAGCTCTTGCTAAACAGGTCGTGGCTTATTCGCTACGCAACATGGAGCAATTTGCGATCGCAGAGGCTACTGACACATCGACCTTTGCGACTACCAACGCAATGACTTCCATGTCAGAACCTCATGGCGGCGAGAAGCAAATCAAGGAGGTCGCAGTTCCTGACGTCCTGATGCATCTCGTGGGCCATGTGGATGGCTACCCTGAGAACCATGACAACGATGATCCAGCACCCGATGGAGATTACATTGTCGGTGGGACAGGTGTTGTGAAAGCATTGCAATACGTGTTGGGAGAGAAGGCCAATGATCTTCGCCGAAGCAGCGTGCCAACATCTTCCGGCAACAGACCCTCTCGGCCTGGGTCTTCTGCCGGACTGGTTGGGGATGAAGAACAGCGTGGCAAAGCTAAGAAGATGAGCAAGAACCTCTTGGATAGTGCACGCAAGATCCGTGCCCGACTTCAACCGGCACTCGCAAAGGAGGCAACAAGTGGCGACGAAATGGCATATCGGCGACTCAGCTTCCTGGACCAAACTCTACAAAGCATGATCCAACGCTTCGAAGAAGAATATCCGGAAACACGCCTGGCGCCGCCTTCTCCCAAGGCGGCTTCGACAGCTTCCTCAGCTGATCTGCCCGTAGTACCCGCGCTCCAAACGGCCGATGCCGGTGATAGAGTGAGTGACGACGACGAGGAGCCCGATTACGACGAAGCTGCGACCTTTCGCCCGGCAGTCTCCCGCCACAGTAGCGATGTCTCACTGGCCGCGCGTGCACTGGGTATGGAAGAGGGTCATTTGCACCGACTTGGGCAGCGCATGCGTCGCGAAGTCGTTGATTCACCAGTAACCTCGGCCGTGGAGGACAATATCGACATACGATGGAGCAAAGAAGAGGAAGTCGCGCGCCTCAACGCTCTACGAGTCCAGCTAGAGGGCATCAGTGGGCCAGAACTGAAGTCTCTTGTTGAGCATGACGGCTGGGACTCTGCACTGCGGAAAGTCGGCGCTAACATGAATGATTTGCGGACGATCCAGGAGCAGGATCCGAAGGGTTGGGAGGATTTCAAGGAAGCACAATTGAAGGCGAGGATGAACGTAGCTCAAGACAGCAGAAGCTAGTCGCGGGCCGTGGTACAGCACCGCGATGATCAGAGAGTATTTTTTCACGTCAAAGCTGGGCATTGGGTCCATGTAGATGTACCATTTCTATACGCCGGAACGAGCAATGATGTACGAACTTAAGTAGACAATGGTGGATGAGCACAGATGCATGAGACAAGTGGGAGTGATTTCACGGAAAGGGTGCAAGATTCGAAATTCATAGCACTACGAAGGTGCGATCATCATCATAACGCCGCTAATGCTTTCCTTATTTGCGCCTCCCAATCCGTGACATCCGTGAACAACACGAACGAAACTCCCAGCAGTACTACGACCGCGAAGATGTCCATCCACCGGCTGAGGAAATCTACAGCTCCGCTGCCAGAGCCTGGATCTTCTCTTGCACACGTTGGCGACGCTCCTCGCGTGTGAGCTTGTTCTGCTTGAACTTGAGCGACTCTGCCTTCCACTCGTCCTTGCTCTTCTTCTCGCCGGCCTCATCATCCTTCTTCCATGGGTCCTCGCGGATGGCCTTGTGGGCCTCCTGGTACAGCTCCTCGAGGCCATCAGCCTCAATCTCGTCGTCGATGTAGCCAGAGAACTGAGACTTGTAGCGCTCCTCATCGTCGTCGGCGAGGGTCTCCATGTACTCAGCGACGTGACCGCCGAAGATGTACTTGCGGAGAGTCTCGGCGTCGAGCTCCTTGGTCTCGATGTCGTAACCAGGGAAACGCTTCTCGGAGTGTGGCACGTAGAGACCGCCGTCTGAGGCACCCTTCATGGCACCGAAGACACGGGCACCAGTGCTGGTGCGGGTGAGACCGACATCGAGGAAGACCTTGAATGGGCGGCGGGTCTCGCCGTCAACCTCCTCTGGCTGAGTCTCGGTGAACTCGCCATCAGCCTCCTCAACACCAGTGAAGGTGTCCTCCAGCTCGAGCTTGTTGAGTGCGCGGCGGGCGATGAGAAGACCAACGCAGTAAGCGGCGGCCCAGTTGGTGAGACCGTGGGTGATGCCGTAGCGCTTCAGCTCGTGGCCGTAGGCGGCAACGAAGACCTTGTCGCCGGTGAGCTCAGAGGTGACGATCTGAGCAATGATGTCCTTGTTGGTGAAGCGGATCACCAGGCGGTACTTTGGTGCATTGTACTTGTTCTTGGCCTGGGTGATGAGGCGCTTGCGGGCGTAGTAGTCGGTCTTGCCAGATCGGCGGCGCTTGTACTTCACCTGGTAACGGCTGAGGAAGGTCAGATGCTGTCGTCGCAGGCAGAGGGAAACGCAAAGGAAAGGCAGGAAATACTCACCTGAAGTAGGCGCTGTTCTTGACCAACTTGGTCTACAACACAGTCCCGAGTCAGCAATTGACGCTTCAGACCCCCTTCCGAAGCAACTTGCGGCGACTCATCGTCCTCCGGCGTGGGGAAATACTCACGAAAGGCATCTTGTCGGTGCGTCGCTGGGTGTTGGCGATGGTGCAGCTGGCGGGCGCTGGCGACGAAATGGAGAGTGCACAAATTCCAATCGGCGGGAGTAGCCGCGTGCGTGCAAGGCTTCCGACACACGAAATCTTGGCAATGGGTGACCAACACCCCTCCACCACTTGCGCTCTCCTCTCTCTCTCGCGCACACGACCGGATGTGTCTCATCGACCGCATCACCGCCCCGCCAGCTCGTCCGCGCCGAGGCTGCTCGCTCCGCTCCGATATCAATCCCGCCTTCCGAGACCGTCACGTGCACGAATCTGATCAGCTCAAGCTGTCGTTCTAAAACATGTCTCAAGCCATCCATCGCAGCACAGTCTCGATACCATGTCTGGGGCAGACAGCAGCCTGAGCACCCGCATCAGATGGTTCGTCCACAACTTTCATGCCGATCAGATTGCATCTCAGTGGTCGAGAGAGCACACGCAGAGACACTCTTCGCATCGACCTCCTCTCACCTATGCTCAATGTGGCAAACGCCGGCGTGCATCATGGCGCTGTGCTGCCTATGGTCTGTTGTCAATCATGCGTCGTGACTTTCCGCTGTCCCAGCATTGAGCCGTTCATCCTGCCCATGCCGCCATCGTTCTTTCCTTGACATCCTAGCCGAACCGCTACCTCTGCTTGTTTGCCAGCCATGGCGAGAGCCGATTCGTCTTCCAAGGTCGGTTGCTATTTTCTTCAACTGCGCTGCTTTCGACCGTTCCCACCTTCTCAAGCCTGTGGAAGCAGCTGCATTGCTTGAGTGACGCCAGATGGGGACTGACCATTTCTAGGCCCTGATCAAAGCTGCTATTAGAAGTAAATGCCACAGGGTGGCTCACAGATATCCGGATCAACGTCTCAATCAGCTCCAGCAAGTACATCCTCATTGACACTTCCTCCCGCAGCCGCTGCGGAAACAGAGCTAACACGCCAGGTGACAGTGGAAGTAATGGCAAATGGCTAGTCCTTTGCGATGAGTTGTTTGAGGAAGTGTGCGACGACTTCACTGTCCGGAAATTGTAAGTCGTGCTCACTAAGCTTCACGACACGCGCGACGTAATGGCAAAGGATGAGGATGTCCGAAGCAATAATGCTGACCAAATGTTTTTTACACTCAGGGATATTAGCCTAGCAGAGAAACGTGCACTCTTCGACGCTGAGTGGGTCTCGCAAGTCACATATGGTATGACCGAACCCTCGCCATGCTCCGTGAAGTCGCGTGCGAAGAACGCTACTGACTTGCTCACGGAACTCATCACGAAACCCGCCCGACCACGGCGACGCAACGCCAACAGGGCCAACAGAGGAAGAACCCCAAACTCAGCAGGACCGGAGCGACACGGCGCATCCGAGCCATTACTCTCGGACTCTGGGAACTGGAGCGAACCCACATCGCAACGGAACTTATCGCACGCTACGAGTCATCCCACCGCCAACGAGCACGCAGTACTAGGCCCTGCCGTGCCCAATGAGACAGCGAACTCGAAGACGCAAAGCACTGGTGGAAGTTCAACGCCGAATGCGAATGATCAGAATTTCAGGACCGGGCCTGCGTGGTTCACAACAATACTCAATTGAGCGGACTAGTTTCCTTTTCATCAGCAGCAGGGCGTTTTCGTTTTTGAAGGGCGTGGTCACGATTTTTCATGCGACGAATTTGAGCGTTGACGGGTACGAGACGGCGAAAAGGCGTTGATCCAACACAGCACTTTGTTTGGCTGTAAAACTATCACATTATCTACTCACACTTTCTTCCATCTCCAGCAGCAGGCGGTCATGATCCTCTTCCGTGCCGCAATGCGAGCATGAGCCACTGCAGACTCATCGCTCTCCGTTCCTGAGGCGTCGATATCGCTGCTTGATTCGTCTTTCCTCCTGGCAATCTCCTCAACCTCGGCAACCTTCCAGCCTCGCAGCAAGAGCATGCAAAGCGCGGCAGCAACATACATGAAGCCAACGAACAACTGTGCTCCAATATATTGGCCCGTCCCTTCGACAATCTCAAGAGCTATGGGCTCACTGAAAGCCGTCGGCAGCACGATCACCAGCCATGAGAGATTGAGCGCGGAAGGGAGGAGCCGGAGACCTACCACTTCCGCTGCCACTGGAGCAATTGTGCACCAATACGTGCCTGCGACCATTCCTCCAATCAAAGAAAAGAATATAAGAACGCCGTAACTCTTAGCCGGGATCCAGATCGCAAATGAGAAGACTGCACAGAGCAATGTCATCAGTCCGGCCATGTTCATTCGACCTATCGTGTCGGAGAAGTAGCCGATCGGCGGACGTCCGAGTCCTTGGCCCAGGTTGAGCAAAGCTGATACAACCGATGCTTGCTGTGCATCAAGACCAATATAGTTTGCGTAGTTCGCCAGAGAGAAGATCAGAACCACGTAACCAAGCATACTGAACCACCCGAAGCCTCCCAGGAGCAAGTATTCTGTCCTTTTGAACAACTGCAGATCGAAAGCATTGTGTGAAGTTCCAATGATCTTATTACGGTCCTTTAGCAGCATAACGCAGATGGTGTTGACTCCGAAGGCCAGAATACCAAGGACTCGAAATGTCCACGCCAACCCGATTGACTTCAACATTGCACCAGCAGCCAGGGAGTATATCAATCCGCCGAACCCAGACCCGCAAGCCGCGAAGCCATTCGACAATGACCTCTTCGTTGTGAACCATTGTGCAGGAATTCCCACAGAGGCAACGAACAAGAATCCCATACCCAAGCCAAAACAGACACCTTGCGAGAGAAACAATTGCCAGATCTTTGTTGCAAATGAAGCGCCTATCAGACTCACGGCTTCCAGCACCACACCAACGGCAAGTGTGGGCTTTGTACCGAATAACCGCACCGAAATCGTTGCTACGGGCGAGATGAGCATTGCCATGCTGATGGAAAGAGATCCGACGAAGGCATATTGAAGGTATGTTGCTCCGGCAAAAGTATCGTTGGCGAGGTAATGGGCCAGAAAGACTCCGTAGCTGGAGTTTAGGCCCCATGTGTGGGCATTGATGGTTGCGCAACATGCTGTGCAGACCCAGCCGTAGCCGCCATTAGGAGGAGGTGGAATGACCGCGCTTGTGTTGTTGATTTGCTGCTGTTCTTGGGCATGTGCATCTGCAGGAATTGCAGGATCATTGTTGCCCGTGTGAGCACTCACCGGTCCCAGGCTCTTCTCATCTTGAGCACGGTCTGGAGTGCCCATCACAAACAACGTCGTCCGTTTGTGAGCACAGTCGGCTGTTGATGACGCACAGAAAGAACCGAGGGCTGGAAACCAGTAAGCTCAGACTTCACCAGGGTTCGTGCTTGGCGATTTCAAGTGAATATATACGTCTCTAAGCTTGACAGCCTGTGAGAATGAAGACCGGCTTTTCGCAAACAGCGTCGTGTGCAAGGAATGTAAGTGGCAAGCTCAGTCACAACTCCTCTGCAGAAGTCCGCGAAGTCGGTCGACACATTTTCCCCACGCGAAGCTAGTGCAATGCAAACGTGCCACTTGATGCCGTTCTGCCGAGCGCCAAAAGCTTGTCACGGTCAACTTCCATTTCTGATTCGGCCATAAGTCGGAATGATGACCAATATTTATCTGGGGCACTTGTTTAGCTTGTCTTTCTTTCCTTGTACCTCCCAAGTGCATGACAATGCAGTAAACTGATCGATGACAATAGTACATTTGTGTTACTTCTCAGATCGAAGACTTGATTGACGAAAATCGTTCTTCTCTACATGTCAAGTCGTCAACAGCAGAGGCAGACTGTCCAATCATTCTGGAAATTCAAGCTTGTCGCATGGTGTACCGTCGTGAATAAACTCTTCAATCCATCCTATCGTCATCCTGTTTAGAAAACATTAGCTTCAAAATGAACGTCCAGCAGAGACTCAAGGTGTTAGAACCTACATGCTTCTCTGCGTATCTGCAAAACGTTCATGATCACCGACCAAATGTTCCTTGTACCAAGGATCATTCTTGATATTCTTATAATCCTCAATACTGTTGAAAGTGACCTGGCTGAAGCAGTCATAATCGGCAATATTCTTCATCTGACGATCCATAATGTGGTTCATGAGAGCTCGCGTCTTTGTTGTATTGTGCACTTGTGTCCATCGTTTAATGCCATATTTTGCCATAAGATCCTTGGTCAGCGGAGCTGAGATCTTGTTCATGTGGTGTCTATATTCCTGGTCGGTGAGGTCATGCCGTTTGTAGCCTAGTATTGTCAAACAGAGATATTTGCTCCCGATTTCGTCGTTGGCTGGATCCTCGATGGGTATTTCCAGCTGATTCGCTTCGGTGATGGTAACAGTTTGCGACATCGTGGATTTGCTTCTGTACGGGGTATCGAAACTCGAAACTAGTCGGCTGCTCTCGAGCGCTGAATGAACAAACGTGATGCTACAACGGCTCTATGGTATTTTTTAACATAGCGATGACCCCGCATAAGCATTTGCGATGAAGTATTCAGGATGTCGGGCTTCGGATCTCAGTGGCATAATTGCCCGAGAACGCTACTCTTGAAACATTTCTGCTCCGAGATCCGTTACCACATTCTGGAAGCACGGCGTATCATCTCGCTGATCAGCCGCTCGAAGTGTCTGTGAGCAGATCAGCACGTTCGCGATATCTCTTGATGCGGAGCAAACATTGACTGAAGCTGTTGTATCCTGGACATTGCGGACGCCTCGGCTTGTTCTGTACTCAAGACACTCTCAAGACAAGGGCGTATCCGCTGAACATATACGCTTCAGCTGTTGCCAGACAAATAATGGAGGAGCTGCGGAGCTGTAATCTACAGTTCAGGTCGTGATTGACTGCGGATAGACTTTGGTATAGCCGGGCTAGCCGTACAACCAACGGTGCCAAGAATTTCAACCTCACCACAGAATGATAACATTCGCCATTGCGACGTTGACTGTTCTGTTCGTTCACGGCATAGATATCGACTGCAAAAATGTCATTCTGAAGAAATGAATGGTGCCAAGTCCTTGCTCAGACCATGCTAGGAGGTAAGAGACATGCCGAGGCCCACAGATGGTATAATTCTTCCTTAGCAAAACCAGAGCGTGTGGGGCAACAGCCATCCTTGTAATGGGTACGACCACGCCAACACCACCACTCTGTAGGCTGATATGTCCTTGTATTGTGCACAGCAACAGACGACAATGTCACTTTTAGTACCTTAACGTAATGCATTCCAGAGCTCCCGAGGCGTCCCCGATTCATCCTAGCGCATCTTGGGCCCACCAAGAATTTGACTCTATAATCTGTTCAGCTTTTCGGCAGACATCAATAGCGACTGGTTCAGCCACCGGTTCAGGCTATTTCGGGCGCGTGGTCTAGTGGTATGATTCTTCCTTAGCATTTGTCAGCTTCATAAGGCCGACGATGAGGTGGAAGAGGTCCTGGGTTCAATTGTGAGTCTAGTATATTAACATCACTTCGGGCACGTTGTCTAACAATGCAATTAGCCCAGCGCGTCCAACACTTAACATATTTTTTTGCCAATTTTCCTAGCCATGCAGCGTCACGTATGCGTACGTGCATCGGGCGTAGTACAGCGGCGAGGATCTCTGTGCTGCTGGCCCTCGTTAGCCATTTTCGGTAGTATTTCGTCTAAAGTAGCGTTGCTCCGTAAGAAGAGATACTGCTATATAAGAAAGCGATTGATGTTTGCCTCCGGCGGCCACTGCGTAGAGCTTTTCTTTTGCGCCTTCGGCGAGTTTGGGGTGCGTTTCCGTTCTGGAAGTCAGTATTGAGGATGCTCTTTCCAAAGTTGGCAGGCCGCGTCAGAAGAAGGAAAGAGTCTTCTGCTAGTGTCAGAAGGAGGAAAGAGTCTTCTGCTGGTGCATGCCTCCGGCGGCCACTGCGTAGAGCTTTTCTTTCCTGCCTTCGGCGGAAGCGTGTTGTCTCTCCTTCCTCGTTAGGTCCCTTCCCAACGTTCACAGGCCTGCGGCCCGCGAACGTTAGAAAGGGCCCGGGGTCCTGGGTTCAATTCCCAGCGCGTCCATTCTTTTGCCCTGTATAGGGACAGTCGAGGAGTAGTGGTGTTCTTTTTGGCGTTGGGGAAGGTGTGAAGTGAATGAAAGTGGCGGCCGACCCTTTTTTCTTCGGCTGCTGCGTATCATGCTTTGTTACGACGAGCTCGGATTTCGTGTAGCATTGTACTTCGTCGAAGATATATCTAGCTGTGTTTTGCCGTCAAGGATGTGTCCGGCTGTTGATCTTTTCGCGACTCCGCAACATCGTGAGCGTCGGTANTAGACATCCCACTTTTGTGTGCCGATGACGTGTCAGCCAATGGCGATGATCCTTTACACGCCCAAGCACTTACCAGCAGGGTGAAGGGCTGACCGTCCTGTGAAAGGACGATGTTCTGGACCATTATTGAGCCACGGTGGTGCTGCTCGATTTACGCCGACCCTACGCAATGCGAAGTTCAGCCGGCGGCGGTGACGATAGGGATGGAGGCAGCATGCCACATTTGATATCGCGGCCGGCGGAGTCAAGGACATGGTGAAGTGCTTCAATCGAGGCATTGGGTTCGAAAAAGTTAAATGTTGTCACGGTGATCGAAAACTCGGTATTATTGGCTCATGCCGTTCCGCTCTATCACTGCTCATCAGCAGATGCACTGTACTCGATTCTAGAAAGACCGCCCGGCTGGGATACGGTTCAATGAAAATGATGCGCTGTTGCATGTCGCTCGGCAAGATCAAGATGATTACTCGCGTCGCTTCTTGCCCTCTTCCAGATTGCCAAGACGAGCGTCGCGACTGCCGCCTCCAATGAAAGACCCAAGCAGGGGATCTTTTGCGACCTTCTCTAATGTGTCTTGATACGCTTCGACCGCCCACTGCGGTGTGTTGAGCTTCGGCCAGTTCACCTGTGAAAATGTCAGAGGCGGCTTCAAAGAAAGAGGACAGTGATCTTACGTAGAGAGTGCCGTAGTTCCACATGAAACGGCCAGTATAGCCTGCCACGGCCAAGCTGAAGAGTGTGAAAAGTCGCAGAGGCCACACGGTGGAATTGGGTAGGCGGTTCGTGCTCACGCTGATAGCGACGAAAAACACACAGAATCCAAGAACGTAAGGCACAGCCTGTATGACCAAAGGCCTCCTGTCTGCAAACTGCTGCAGAGATCCGATGCCTGCTGTATCCGGCGAATAGTGGCCGAGAAACAAGTCAAATGCATCTTGCCTCGGGCCATCAGCGAAATTGTTGCGCACATATCGTGTGCAGCTGTTGCTCAAATCTTGAAGCATTCCGGCTCGTGTCCGGTTACCAGTTCGTGTGAAGTCGGTCTTGAGCGCGCCGGTACCAGAATAGGTCTTGGACACTACATCCGCGTTATCGGCCCACACGTTGCGGAAAAGGTGTTCGAAGGTCTGATCGTCCTGAGCGCTCTCGCCAGGCCTCAGCACGCCAAGGTCGATCAGCATACGGGTAAGTGTCCATCTTCCAAGCATAGATTGTACGACATTTGTTCTGTCAAGGCAATCCATGCAGTTGGTGCGCACTACTGCTGTCTGCTTCTTGCGGATATCCACGCCTCCAGATGGGGTATCAATGCCATGGAAGTATCCTCCTGCTGTCAGACCATCCGCCAATTGATCGAGCAGGAGCTGAGCTCGATGCCACTTCAGGCCTTTTGTTTCGTTGTGGAAGTCAAAGTAGACGTAGTGGAGATGGTCGTACCAGCTTCTCTGGTCGTTAGGCTCGATGACATCGAACCTCTCGCGGGTTCTACGACCAGCTTCCTTATACTCGGTCGGGTGTGCCTGGAGTATTTTCACAAGCTGTTCGTACGCATCCTTGACCCGCATCTCACGACCTTTCTGATTCACCAGATTAACCATGTAGTTCTCTCCGTACAGTCGTATTTGCTCGTCAAAATGTCTTCGTGCGGCATTAACGGCTGTTTCTACACCTCGAATCTGGAGCTTGGGAGTGTATTTGAGTGTGTTCACTTCGGCCCAGTAGACGGGGACACTTCCTCGTGTCTGCACATACGACAGGACCTGTGTCTCCGAGCCACGCACAGGCTTCGTATTTGAAAAGCCCCCATCACCAGCGTAGCTCGTCATACCACTCGAGAGAGCATCATTCAGGATGATCGCTTGTTCCGTCTCGTTGTAGTTCGACACATGACCTTCTTCATCGATGCCTCGCGACAGGTAACGTGTACCAGTGCGGAATCTGGACCTCCGAGTGATGAGCACAAATGTGAGTGCGTTGCCTTTGATCGATGTGTTGGTAATGCGCATCATGCCGTACATGACGGGCAAGATGTAGGGATCGACAGCCGGCTGAGGGCCTGACGACAAACGACCGGCTGTTTTCCCCAGGCGGAAATCGATGAGCGACGACGAAATGAAGCGGTTCCAGAAGAAGCGATCATCGGCGCGCTCCCAAAGTGGCTCGTTCGCGTCACTCTGAGCCTGCCTCTGGAAGCTGTTGGTGAGGTCGAAGGAGTAGGAGAAGTACATGGGGCCATTCTTGAGGAGAGTTTTCAGGTACGCAAGATACGTGTCCTCGTCTGGATCGTGGACCTGACGCTCGCGCAGAGGCAGGAACTCCGTAGAGACGACCTTGTAGATCTGATGTCCCTTGATACGGCCGACAGGCTGCGACTTGGTGATGGCGATGATGTAGCTATCTATACGGCGGCAGACTCAGCGGACACGCTCGAATGTCGTCGTTCGGTATCAGGGCGTACCTAGGCGCAGCTTGATGATCCCCAGAATGCCCGAGATGCTGGACACGCGATGCCCGCCGGTAAGCTTGCCATCGTGCAGGCGGAGGTCGCCAGATGGGCGGTCGACGACCAGGGTCGGGGCATTGGGCGAGGAGGGCGAGGAGAAGGCGTAGTAGGTGGAGGAGGCGTGCACGTTGATGTCGCGGAAGGGCAGCGTAGCACTCATTGTGGCGGAGAATGCGCGCCTGCACCGCGGGGAGGAGGTATGGGGCGGAGCGTTGGTGTAGATGACTTCCGCTCAGTAAATCCTCAGCGCGTTGCGGGCGGGCGTGCTCAGCAGCTCATCAGGGAGTGTTTGGCGTCTTTGTGAGAGTGACGTGACGTGTGCCACGTGCTCAATCCTGGGCAAGGCAGGTGGCCCGTAGGTATCGATGCATGCCCGCCGGTGGCCAACCTCCAACACTCGTCGACCACCGCCACCGCCCTCACGACCACTTCCTCTCCGCCACAGAGCTACTCGGAGTACTACACAGGCTACGGCTGACGCGCGAACACCCCTCCACCCCCGAAGCGCACTCGATTCCTGCCCGCCCGGCGAACAGAACACTCCCGATAACAGGTGGACGGCCCCAGAGCAGACTTGATGGCAGCTCGACAAGGCACACGGCCAGGCGGCGGCGGCGCTCGCTTTGCACAGTTCAAGCTGGTTCTGCTCGGTACGTCGTTGGTTGTGCCTAGGCTACAGCATATGCTAGTGCTAACACCATGCAGGAGAATCCGCTGTGGGCAAGAGCTCGCTCGTCCTTCGCTTCGTCAAGGTATGGTAGATTCCGCAGATCTCCTTGCTCGCCTGCGGCCTCTAATCCAAAGGTGACAGGACCAATTCGACGACTACAGAGAGTCAACAATCGGAGCCGCATTCCTCACGCAAACGATCGCACTCGATGAGCAGACGACAGTCAAGTTTGAAATATGGGACACAGCGGGACAAGAGCGTTACAAGTCGCTAGCTCCCATGTACTACCGAAATGCCAATTGTGCAGTAGTGGTGTACGACATCACGCAGGCAGTATGTCACGAGAATACCGTCCGGGACCTTGAAGACTGCTGACGATGTCTGACAGGCATCATTAGATAAGGCCAAAGCTTGGGTGAAGGAGCTGCAGAGGCAAGCAAACGAGAACATCATCATCGCACTGGCAGGGAACAAGGCAGATCTGGTCGCCGAACAACCGGACAAGCGTGCTGTACCAACAGGCGACGCGGAAGCATACGCGAGGGAAGCCGGGCTGCTGTTCTTCGAGACGAGTGCAAAGACTGCCGAAAATGTCAAAGAGCTCTTCACGGCCATTGCAAAGAAGCTCCCAATCGAGCAGGCGACTCAGCGTGGTATGAGGGGTGCCGCTGGCAGACCAGGCGGTGTCGATCTTGGGTCGAGGCAAGACCCAGGAGCAGTGTCGGGAGGACCGGGAGGATGCAATTGCTGAGAGGGTCACATTGCTATTGTAGGCCTTTGTGTTGCATGGACCGATATCGTGGATTGCCTCTAGATGTCACGCGTGGAAACGACTGCACGTAGTGCTGCAGGGCGAGGGTGCTTCGGCCAAGGCGTTACTGGTGTTGCGGGCCATTGCATGTAGCGCTGATTGAATGATATTGCGATCTCGACAGCATTGCGTCCGTGACTCGGAGACAATTCATGGGAGGTAGCAAATAATACCCTTGTTGTAGTACAATCTAGAATATAACGTTGAAGATCATCTCAACAGGCCCCTGCTCCATCAGACGCCGGCTCCGTTGCCGCCGCGCTTCTCGCGCTGCGCGTCGCGCCAGGCTCCCGGACACACGTCCACGCCACCGCATGCGAACCAGTCCGCATCGTGAGACACTGAACGACAACCTGCCGGTAATAAACAATCGATAGAAGCGAAGACGCAATCCCAAGAGCTCACTTGCAGAGCATGGCACGCCGTTCCGGACGCATCGTTCCAAGTGGCAACGCAGGGAACCAACACAAGCGAGCACTATCCGGCAGTACATCTGGAGAGACTCTAGCGAAGAGACCAAAGCAAGCGAAATCCACACCAACAAGAAGTAAACATTTTACTGCCCCGGACAAGGACACAGAGGATGACCAATCCGAACCAGAGGATAGCGCATCGAACAATGAAGACTCAGGCTCGGATTTCGGAGAGACCCCAAATGTGGACGAATCATCAGGAGCCGATGACGATGAGGAGAACGAAAGTGATGATGACGATGAAGACAGCCCTAGACCTGCCAGAGGTTCGGCAAAGAGCACTCCTGCCAAAAACAAAGCAGGAGCCGTTTGGAAGCCAGGCGTCAAAACTGGATTAGGTGAGGTCGATCATATGGAAAGCAGAAGCACTGCTATAGCCATTTGCTAAATTTCCCCAGGACCCGGCACTCAAGTCATAATAAAAAAGCCAAAAGCGAGACCCGCTGGCAAGATCCCATACAATGATGATACGATTCATCCAAACACACTATTATTCCTGAGCGAGCTCAAAGAAAACAACAAAAGGGAATGGCTGAAATGTAGGTAAACCATTTGCGACAACTGTGCTGCTCTCTATACGGAGGCGCGAAACGTCGAATGCTGAGCACACCACAGTGCACGACCCCGATTTTCGCCAGTCAGAAAAAGACTGGCATTCGTTCGTTGAGAAGATGACCGAGACTCTTACGACAATCGACGATACCATACCTGAGCTACCAATCAAGGACGTCGTAAGGCAAGACCGACCCAAACAAATGGATCCCACTCGCTGATGTTTGCACCGCGCACAGATCTTTCGTATATACAGAGATGTTCGCTTCTCTAAGGACCCCACGCCATGTAAGTGTCGAAGCGATGCATCGCGTGTTTGCTGCTAATCAACTGAATGTTACAGATAAGGTACGCTTCATCCCACGCAACATAGCCGCGCGGTCGCGATCGTTGGCGAGATAGTTGTATGACGGTGCTTCACTAACATTACGTCGCTCTAGGCATGGTTCAGCGTTGCTTGGTGAGTTCCCTGCTTCGAGGTATTCGTGCATCATCTCACTTACGCTCAACAGGTCTCGTGCCGGCAGGAAAGGGCCCTATGCACATTACTATGTGCAGTGTGCCCCGAATAAATCTTTCGTCGGTGAGTTGTCCCTCCAATCTGGTCATTGTGCACACCTACACGGCATTGAGTTCGGCACGATATGGCAATGCCTCTCGACATCTTTGTATGATGGAGCGTTGCGTTGCAGAAACGCACAGCACGTCGATCGATCCACAATCGATGCAGTCCTCGTGCTTGTTTCGCCAGCGTTGTCCTGCTCTTTCTGCTCCCACCCCAGCTACCCTCTGCCTTGCTCTCTTGCGTTCCGCACCATGGCGAGTTGTCGGGCTTCGTTCGCAACAGGTCTCAGAGCCCAGGATTGCCTCGAAACTCCACCACTATCTTTTCTTCGATTTTGCGGCCTATCGCACCCACAAACTGACAATGGTTCGTAGGCGGTGGACTCTGGCACCCTGAAGCTGCCCCAGTCGCAGCGATGCGTCGTGCCATCGATCGTCATCCTCGGCATCTGAAAGACGTTTTGTCGAACCCTCTCATCAGGAAAGAGTTCCTCAAGAACGCACCGGCGAACGATAAGGCGGTCGTGAAAGCATTCGTTGATAGCAATCGCGGGAATATGCTGAAAACGAAGCCAAAGGTGAGTTGTTTTTCATCAGCATACCCGTGTTACCTGCGCTGTCTCGCGTTCGTTCGTGAAGATGTGCTATTGCAGGTGTCGAGACGCCATGTTGCCAGTGAAGACCTGGGAAGCCTTGGGCTTTCCCTCGCGACCTTTTGCTGTCCTTCCGGCTTTCCTGCTGATTTCGTTCCAACCCGGATCGTCGTCTTGCTCAGTCCACGGATGCAATGGAATGGCTGTGCGTCCGCAGCTGACCGTACGTGCGACGATGTGAGCGCACTCTACGCGAAAGCGTGAGAAGCGAGACCCCACCCCGGTGCCGTGGTTTTCGAAGGGTCCGCTTTCCGTGTACCACATGAATGGACCATGAAACACTTCCCTGGCCTTATTATTTCATCGTCAAACGCCGCAGCGATTCTACGGGCAGCTACACTCTGATCACCGCTCCTTCTACAACATGGCTTCGCGTCAGAACAAATCCATGAAACCCGCAGGCTTGATCGCGACTACTGTTCTAACGTGAACCCGGATGTCAATGCTCCGACCATGACCCATCCTCGAGCTGCAGCTCGCTTTCAAATGAGCGGTTCTGTGTCACCTCAAACAATGCGAAATATGGGCCTTTGACAAAAACGCAGTGGTCATAGACTGTCTAGCTAGCGAGCGACGGTCACTATGCCTGCGACTAAAAGAATGGCACGGTACATATTCGCTAACATCCACCATGCAGGGTTACGACAGCGAGCATCCCGACATCGACTTGCTCAGACTGCGAAACTACACTATTGGCCGGGATCTCACAGACGAGGAGGTCCTGGGCGAGAACGGAAGATTGCGAATCGCCGACCTTTTGGCGGCTATGCAGCCTTTTGTGAGTAGTCCCTTCTTTCCCCTTCAGGTGTGTGAGAGAGACCGGGTCGATCGGCGAGGTCCTTCGAAGCACCCTGCAAGATCACGTAAAAGGGTGTGGTGCAATTGCCACTTCTTGTCTGCTGGCATAAGGGCTCGCAGATGGCTGACGTTGTTGTTCTCCGCAGATCACCTATCTCAACTCTGTCGTAATGCCTGATGGAGATGCTGATGATTCGACGGAGAATGGGGAAAGTTCGTCTGAGGAGGAGGAAGGGCAAGAAGAGGACGGCGAAAGTGGCGATGATTGATGAGTCGAAGCGAAGTGTACGTGTTGCAAACCGGGTCACGCGCGAGGTAAGGTCGATTTCCTTCCTACGCCCCTCAGTGAGGTATCAGGCATGGTTGTGGCCCAGGCCTCGTGATGGTTGTCACGATCGCCGCATCATCAGTATTACGGCGCGGTTGCCATCGTGAACGGATCCGAGCCACTGCTGTGACTTTTGCAAATCACCTTTCAGCGAGCTTGAAATTGCCGTTTTCGATTCAATGCGCATATTGGGCGACGCAGGAATCGCTAGTGATCACGTACATTGTACATGCGCCCTGCATCTGATAGTTCCAGCATCGGAGCCAGATGGCGTTCCGCACATATGGCATGCGGGTCGCGAAGTCGATCGACGCATCCGATGCCACGTAGGACGCTGGTCTCCCAGAAGCATCGGGCCGCAGTCTCGCAAGTCTGAGTTCCACACGCCTTGTCGACGAGCTGTGAAGTCTAGCTTCAAGTCGGCTTAGGCAGCGTGCATAGGACTGCAGGAAAAGCTCCGCAGACACCAGGCGCAAATGGAGCCACGTCGAGCTGTAGTACATGTGCATACTACTGCTCGACAATCGTGACCCTTACTCCGGCCCAATGACACTTGTTTTGACGCAACATGATGCTTGGGTGCTCGGCAGACGCGGCATGTCGTTTGGGCTGAGTAAAGTTTACAGAGGTTCAGCCATGATCCTGGTCAGCAACGGGCAGCTGCATCAGTTTTCACTCACGTGATGACCAGATGGATGCATGTGCGGCGGCCCATCGGCGATTTCGTGCAGTCTAGCGCGCAGCATGGCCAATGAGATGAAAGTTACAGGGGCGCCCGCTGGCGACCGCCAGCGGTTTCCGCGCCGGTCCTTGCGTGGCGGAGAGCATATGGCTGCCAGCCACCGTGCAAAGCAACGGGGACCATCCCAGTTTACGAGCTTTCGTGCAGACTCTGCTGGCATTATTTCGACCACGACAGGCGTGTCGCAGTGCAGCTTTGACGTCTGCTACGCGCCGAAGGTGACCATATGCATTGGAAACATGGCATCTTCCGATGTGCTCCGGAGGGATATTCTGCAAGTGGCAGTTATTGATGAACAGAGGCCCAAGCCTCTACTTCGGACAATTCTGCTGCCACAGCTCCGACGAAAGTAAGTTGAGTGGAAGAAGACGAACGAGGTTCCAATTCGTTCGTGCGGCTGCCATTTGGCTGCTAGGTCTCTTCTGTTTCGGCGTCTCAACCACTTCCCGTTGTCTCGAGAGCTTGTGGTTGTTAGCTAGGCGATGTGCTCGTATTCCTAGCTGGCTCTGGCTCTGGCTCGTTACACGCGAGAAGATAGCCCCTGCCTTGGACGTGTATGGAATTGATGGCAGTAGCGTTCGACCTCGCGTCTCGCGTCGGAACTCCACGAAGCTGACATGAATGAGAGCGCACCACGGCGCTAGCACTGCGCCTGCCCAAAGCTGCATATGCCGCAATGTGAATATGACGTAGGACGATGGGTTGGAGTTGCTGCACGATGCACATCCGTGATGTCTGATGATGAAGTGTTGTGGCACAGACGTTGGCGTGGAGGGTGTGAGTGATGAGCACGTCCCGCCCGGCGTGGTCGTTTTCGGAGGCGGCCTAATTCTGTGAAGCCAGTCCAGTGCGCTGACAGCTCGACTGATTGCTCCGTGAGTGCTGCCAAGGCAGGTCTGGAAATGGAAAGCACAGGAAAGCAAAGAGCGGTTAGCACTCGCGGGTTGACTGTCGACGTTCATCGTGCAGCAGGCGTGCACGTCGACGATCTGATGAGAGATGTCCTGTGGCTCGCCTGGATGGCAGCTGCCGCGGCGGACGTGCCCACGACGATCTCTTGGTTTGGCCTGCGAGCAGAAAAGGTTCGGTTCATAGCGATGCCGGACGGACGCGCGGTGAAAAGTCTAAACAGCTCGCTAAAGATGCCCCTGCACCGCGTTGCTCCGCATCCGCAACGCGAAGAAAATACGTGATTGGCTCGAGCTGCTCCCAATTTCACGCCGGCTTGTTGCAGCTGGGGCACGACGCGCGCTCGCCGGCAGCAGGAGCAGCGTCGCGGAGGAGCACGCGTGATTGCGGCCGGGGTCGCGGGGCGACGGCGAGGTCGCGTCGGATCACATCTGGTCAGCAGATGCGTGCTGTCTCTCGCGTCTGTCACTGGCGGCGAGAGCACTGCACACTGCGACTGCGATGGGAGTGGTGCGACGTGCCGCGCCTGTTGCTCGCAAGCTCGGCAAGATCGCGTGGCATCCTGGCTAGCGCAGTTCGCGTCTGTGAAAAGCGCAGCCAACCAGCGCGCGCGACAGCTGTGTTGAACCAGCCCTGC